AACAATATTTGTTCTTGGATTCTATGAGCGTGGAACGTTTTTCCATTTCTTTGTGTCTTCCTCAATTTGTTTCATGAGTATTCTATGGCTTTTCTGGGTACAGAGCCTTTGCCTCTTTATTTAGGTTTATTCCTAGGTATCTTGTGGGTTTTGGTGCAATTGTAAATGGGATTGATTCCTTAATTTCTCTTACCTCTGTCTCATTGTTAGTGTATAGAAATGCAACTAATTTCTTTGCATTGGTTTTATATCCTGCCACATTGCTGAATTCCTGTATGAGTTTTAGCAATTATGGGGTGGAGTCTTACGGGTTTTCCACATAAAGTATCATGTCATCTGTGAAGAGTGAGAGTTTGACTTCTTCTTTGCCAATTTGAATGTCTTTTATTTCTTTCTTTTGTCCAGTTGCTGAGGCTAGGACTTCTAGTACTATGTAGGCCACCTAATATAGTATTTACACACCTGGTGTGGCCTTAGGATACTCTGAATGAGGGTGTGCTGAGAAATGGCTTCATCCCTCTTTCAGTGCCAGAGAGCCATTCATTCATTCACCATTCCACAGACATTGACTGAGCATGTGCTCAATTCCAAGTATAATATCAACACCTGGGACATATGCACAGCACCTCCTTCAGGAAGCCTGTCCCATGGACCCTCATGCTAGTCATAGCTTGGACTCACTCACTCAGCAGCCATTCACAGTCTTTCAGTCATGGCACCCTGGATTTCCTTAGCAAAACCATGGCTCCCACACTCACATTCCCTCCTGTCTCTGAGCCCTGAGGTGGGGTTCTCCTTCTTGCCTTAAGACCATTCCCTGTCCCTCCTCTCTAAAGTCTGTGGCTTTGATCGTTATGTTACCAGCCCTGCTTGCTGCAGTTATCTACAGACCCCTGGGGCTCTCTCTCTCATTCTTTGAAGATTTCAGTACTTGCACCACAGTCACTCCTTCACAGTATCCTTATAGTAATTCTTGGTGGTTTCAATACCATATAATGACTTTCCAACACTACATATTCTAAGCTCCTTGACTTCTTGTCCTCCATTCAGTGTGCTGAGCAACATGTTTTATATGTAAGTGCTAAGTTCTTGAAATTTGCTGGGGAACTGGATGGTGCCAATAAAAGAGTCAACTCAGAATGCCCCATATCTTTTTTTTTTTTTAGAGAGAGTGAGAGCACAAGTGCCCAGGAGTAGTGGGGGGAGGGGCAGAGGGAGAAAGACAATCTCAAGTAGACTCCATGCTGAGCACGGCACACAATGTGGGGCTTGATCTCATGACCATGAGATCATGACTTGAGTTGAAAGCAAGAGTTGGATGCTTAACTGACTAAGCCACCCAGGCGACCCAATGCCCCATATCTTAAGGAAAGCACCAGCATCAGGGCACCTTGGTGGCTCAGTCGATTAAGCATCTGCCTTTGGCTCAGGTCATGATCCCGGGGTCCTGGGATTGAGTCTTGCATCAGGCTCCCTGCTCAGTGGAGAGCCTGCTTCTCTCTCCCTCTGCTGCTCCCCCTGCTTGTGCTCTCTCTGTCAAATAAATAAATAAAATCTTTTAAAAAAAGAAAGAAAGAAAGAAAGAAAGAAAGAAAGAAAGAAAAGAAAGCACAGCATCTTGTAGTTTCTTGGGCAACAAAGATGTTGCATGGAAGGGTCTCCATTCAGTGAGCTGGACAACATACCGGGAGTACAATGCATAGATCTTGAGGCACTATGTTATAGGGAAGGTAATCCACTAGGAATCTAACACAAGTGTGCCATTGCACTTGTATAACTGCTAAGTGGCAGTTACACAGAAATCCACTGCTAAAGAAGACTCACCAAATCCAAATCCTACAGTTTGTTACAAAAAGAGAATATGGATGGAAACAACAATAAAATAAGAATATGCATCATAGTTAAAGGTTATTTCATGGTAAGGGGGCCAGAGTGGTCAGGTACAGGATCCTTTGTCCTCCCTTCTGTAAGGCATGTGGCCAGATGCACTTTCTCTTTTGGATCAGGAACCACCTGGAACACCTTGGAAACAGGGAGCCCCAAATAGAGGCTCAGCTGGGAATTCTTATATTTTTGCTGGTTATCTAGACATATTTCCAAGGCATAACCAACTTCAACAGCAGAGCCCTTTGGGTGTCTCGCTGAGACCGGGTGCAAATCATCTGTCTCACTGTTTTCAATAAACAAGGCTGACAAGCTGGTACAAATCTCCTTGAACCTCTACAAACCCATGATTACAAAGCAACATTATTAATCAGTATGCTTCATGCCCTGACCAGGAATCAGTGCCATGCAGGAACTTTAGCAAAATAGGTCAAGCTAATTCCAGGCCCTCATGGTACAATAGCTTTTGTAGTCGTTGCAAAATGAAATGGTACAAGTAAAAGTTTAATTCAGCACAGTGATTATTATAGTGAAATAAAGGCATTTCCTTTCATGGTTTTGGGAACTCTTTTGCGAGAAAATCCATTCACTAGACCGAAAAACTTACTGAAAGTAAAATTGTCTAGCTCAGAAAAGGGATAGTACTATTTAAAGATGCCCCTCAGTGTATTGAACAATTGTATAAAACAATTGTTGGGCTTTCATAGTTTGTTGGGGAAGTGATGTTGTGCATGTCAAAGGATCCATTGGGTGTCCTGGAAAGAGTGGAAGTACAAGTATTCACATGTTCCAATTTGTTATAAAAATGAGATGTGTATGTTTTCACCATGGTGAGAAAAAGTGGAAGTACTTTTGTCTGGCATTTGTAATTTGTTATGGGGCCGAGAGAATTCTGGAATGACACTTCATTCAGCCAGCAGGCTGAATTACATAGTAGAAAGCCAAGTGCCCAGTTCTTGAATTTTTTGGGGTATGATAATGGGGCATTTAAGATACCTCATTCTATGTGCTGAACAACAGATTGGAAATTGTCGTGTATCTGCACATGTTTGCATGGCTGTGGTGGGGGTGGGGAGGGCAAATTCAGATTGTGTGTTTAAAAGGCTCAAATCACAGTCAGCAACATACAGGAAGTACAAGTATTGGAGTCAACAACAGTCAACAACATATGGGAAGTACAAGTATTGGAGCATATAAGTGACTGTATTTGGAGGGGTAAATGACAAGCTGGAAGGACCAGTGTCCAACTTGCAGCTTTTGGAAACCTGAGATGGTGTTGATAAGATATTCCTTCATCCTGCTGAACAACATCTGGGATGTGCAAATATCTAGACGTTAGGATTCACCGAGGCACTGAGATGGTACTTAGCAGAGTCTCAGATCAGCATAAAACATTCTGGATGTACAAATGTCCAACACTTGAAGACTTGGGGACATTGAGATGGTGGATGTAGGGGATTATTCAGCATGCTACAGAACATAGCAGAAGCACAGAAATTTAGATTTTGTAGTTTAATGGGAAACTGAACTGATGCTTGTAAGCAACTCCATTTAGCTTCTTGAACAAAAATACTAGCCGAAGTATTTTGCCTTTGTAGTTGTAGGGGAATTGAGATAGTTCATGTAAAAGACTCCATTTTGCTTGCCAAAACCATTCTTTAAATAAGAAGTTTCTAAGTCTTATAGTTTGTTGGCAGAATGGGGACAGTAGGATATGAGATTGCTTTTGCTGAACCACATACTGAAATTACAGGGGTCTTGTTTTGGTGGTTTCTCAGGAGAGGTTGCTGTCTGGTGATCTGACAGGTAGCAGACAATAGAAAATCTGGTTGATAATAGTTTTTGATTGTCTGTTTGGAAACTTGTATTTCTGTCATCTCCTTGCATTCTCTGTGCTCTTTGATGTGTTTGCTTGCCACTAAGAGTGCAAAGATTGTGTGTATGTGCACGCGTGTGTGTGCTGGAGCTGCTGGACTGGTGTTTTTAAATTTAATATTTCCTTTTGACCCTTGGTTGATGTTGTAAAACCTAAGCTTGTAGTTCTTTTTGTATGGGTGAACATTTTAAAAGGGAGTACAAAAGGGGCACCTCGGTGGTTCAGTCAGTTAAACGTCCGACTCTTGGTTTTGGCTCAGGTCGTGACCTCATGGTCGTGGAATCAAACCCTATGTTGGGCTCCATGCTCAGTGTGGAGTCTGTTTGAGGTTCTCTCTCCCTCTCCCTCTGCCCCTGCTGATCCTTCTCTCTTTCTCTCTCTCTGAAATAAGTAAATGAATCTTTAAAAGGTAGTAGAAGAGAGAAAAAAGATTTCCTCACAAAAGATAATCATCTTTTACAAAGGCTTGTTTGTCAATAACCCTTTCTGTATCTCTTTCTTTCAATTTGAGGGGAAAGCTCCATGTGCAACAATAAAGGGTTATTAAATCTTAAAAGCTATGCCCCTTACTTCAGCCACAATCTGCCCAGACAAGCTTTACAGCTAAGGACATGTAACAAAATAGTTAGAGTTAATCCAGCTATTAACTCCTCTTTAGGGTCCCCTCTTGCCTGAGAACCTTGCCAGGTCTTCTGGAAGGAATATCAAAAGAACCACAGTCGAGGACTCTAGCATAGATACAGAATAGACTGACATTGACAACATAAACTGCTGTCAACCTGTACTAAAGGACTGGGGTAGGATTTGCAGAGTCTTTAGTCTAGAAGCAGACAAATGCTACAAAACCTACTTTAGATTTAATTATGGGTAATATTCTACTTTTAGTGAGCATATCGAAAATCTTTTTCCTTCATCTCTAACCATCAATTTTACTGCCATACTTGTTCAAACTGGAATGAGACGTCCTTTAAATAGTATCTTGTACTAACTGACCCCTTGGAATTTAGAATAAGCAATCCCATAGAGTATAACGTAGGTCATAAGCTAACAATGAAAACATATAATAAAGATTATGTTATGATTAATGATATATCTTGGTTAGTCTTATCTACAAAACTGCTCAGAATAATGGTAACATTGGTTAAATATTATACAAAGTGTGTTTACCCAGTTCTCTTCTTTCATAACTATACTTTTTTTCCCCATAGCTTCAATAAGAATCTGTCTTCTTTTTTACCAGGTTATAATTGGATAAATCAATTTGCAACCATGATCATGATGAAGATGTCATTTAAGTATGATAAGAGCTTTATCAAAGAACAAGGTGGTATGTTTCTTTTTTTTTTTTTTTTTTTTGAGTTTTGAGACTTCTTTATATATTCTGGTTAAAAACTGTCTGTCAATAATGTGACTTACAAAATTATTTTCCAATCTATGGCTTGGCTTTTCTTTATCTTAACAATGTCTTCAGCAGAGCAAAAAGTGTTAATTTTGATGAGGTTTAGTTCACTATTTTTTTTTCTTTTTTGGATTGTGCTTTTGGTGTCTTATCTAAGAACTTTTTTTAAAAAAAACACAGCTTTATATTTCAAAACACAGATATATTTCACATAGCATAACATTCTCCCTTTTAAACTACATAATTCAGCAGTTCTTAGTATATTTACAGACTTGTGCAACCATCACTGTTTTAGAGCATTTCATCACTCCAAAAAGAAACCCCATACCTATTAGCAGTCATTTTCTGCATCCCCATCCCCACCCTCTGTCCCAACCTCCAGCCCCTGGCAACCACTAATTTACTTCTGTCTCTGTAGCTCTGCCTATTCCAGGCCTTTTGTATAAATGGAATTATACAATATGTGGCCATTAGTGACTGAATTCTTTTATTAAGCATCATATTTTCAAGATTCATTCATGTTGTAGCATGTATCAATACTTCATTCCCTTTTGTAGCTGAATAATATTCCATTGCATGCATATGCCACATTTTGTTTGTCCAGTCATCAGCTGATGGCCATTTGGGTTACTTCCACTTCCTGGCTATTAGGAATAATGCTGTTACGGACATTCATGTAGAAGTGTTTGTGTGAGCATATGTTTTCAGTTCTCTTGGGTATATACCTGGGAGGAGAATTGCTGGGTCATATGGTAACTCCAAGTTTACCAAGTTTGAAGATCTGTCAAACTATCTTACCAAGTGGCTGCACCATTTTGCATTCCCATCAGTAATGTAGGAGGGTTCCAATATTTCCACATTCTCTTCAACATTTGTTATTGTACAATTTTGGGTTACAGCCATCCTACTGGGTGTGAAGTGGTAACTCACTGTGGTTTTGATTTGCATTTCCTTGATGACTAATGATACTGATCATCTTTTCATGTCCATTTTTTGGGTCCATTTGTTTATCTTCTTTGGAGAAATGTCTATTCAAATCCTTTGCCCATTTTTAAATTGGGTTGTCTTTTTATGTTGAGTTATAAGAGTTCTTTCCATATTCTAGATAATAAATGCTGATGTATGACTTGCAAACATTTCCTCCCATTCTGTGGCTTGTCTTTATACTTTCTTGATAGTATCCTTTGATACACAAAATCATAAAAATTTTTATGAAGTCAAACTTATTAATTTTTTTTCATTCCTTGAGCTTTTGGTGCCATACCTAAGAAATCATTGTCTAATCCAAGGTCACAAAAATATACACCTATGTTGTGTTCTTCTGAGTGTCTTATAGTTTTACTCTTACATTTAAGTTTTTGATCCATTTTGAAAAACTAGTATAAGGTACAAATCAAGTTTCTCTCTCTGTCTCTTTTTTTTTGCATATGGATATCTAATTCTTCTGGCACTAATTGGCAAAAAGACTATCTTTCCTCCATCGAATTGTTTTGCAACCTTGTAAAAAAAAAAAAAAATCAATTAGCTCCACTCCTTAAATGAAGACTGCACATATTGTCTTCCTTCCAAAGAGTACAATATGGAAAGGGGGAACAGTAATTTTAAAGTATATAAAATAATAAATTACAAATAGTACTTTGGCCAGGGGGCCACAGTTAAAATCAACACGAAGTAATGTGGTTGGTGTACATATGATGGGATGATATGGCACTTTATCTCTATAATCTTCCTTCCCCCAATCCATATCCCCAGTCTAATCAGAAGAAATACATCAGACAAATTCCAGTTGAAGAATATTATACAAGATACCTGACCAGCATTCCTCAGAACTGTCAAGGTTGTTATAAACAAGAGGAGGCTAAGGAAACACAGCGACTTAAATGTAATGTTGTATCCTGAATGGGATTCTGGAACAGAAAAAGGACTTTAGGTAATAACTAATGAAATCTGAATAAAGCATGGTTTTAAATTAATAATGTATTGATATTGGTTCATTAATTTTCATAAATGTACCCACCTTACATTTAATAAGTGTAAAATATTAATCATAGAGGAAACTGAGTGTGGAATCTATGGGAACTCTCTGAACTATCTTTGTAATTTTTCTGATAAACTGTTCGAAAAAATAAAATTGATTTAAAAATATCAATTGCCTCTATTTGTGTGTATCTGTTTCTCAACTCTACCTGTCCCATGGATCTGTGTATCTAAATTTTCCCGTATAACCCACTCTTTTTTTCAGCTTTATTGAGAGGCATAGTTGACAACTACAATTGTAATATATTTAAAGTGTATGACATGATGATTTGATATATACATTGTGAGAGGATTCTCTCCACCAAGTTAATTAACACATCTATCACCTCACTGATTTCCTTTTTTTTTTTTTAAGTGTTCTCTCCACTACTGTCCTTTTGACCAATGTAAGTCATATGGGCAAGGCCATCGTCAAAGTAGAAAGGGACTACGAAGTTACATGGCAAAGCTTATGGATATAGGGCGGCCATTAATTAGGGCCCTTAATGCAGTCAGTCTACCATGGATCTGAAGCCATTCTGACTCCTAACACTTTTTGTAGAAGATTTGTTTTATCTCTTCAAAAATGTATCTGAAATTCAGAGATAAGAGTTGGTGTACATCTTTTCTCATTCACCGTTGGGCACTTGGTGGGTACTTTCAATAAGTAAATCATGTCTTATAGTTCTGGACAATTTTGCTGGTTTTATTGATTCTGTGCCCTCTCTTTTTTCTATTCTCTCTTTTTGGAACTCCTGTTTGAATTTTGATTTCTTGGACCATTCTTCTTATTTTCTTATATTTTCTTACCTATTTTCCATTTCTCTGACTTTTTGTCCTACTTTCTGGGAGATCTTCATTTTGTAACTGTTCTAGTGAATAATTTTCTTTCTATATTTTTAACTTCTTAGAATTTTTTGCTCTGATTATTCCTTTTTATGGTATACTTTTCCTAGTTCACATTGCAATATCATTTAACTTCTCTTATCTATTTGAAAACCTTACTTTTCTTCCTGAGAAGCTGTCTTCTCTATGTTTATTCTCCCTTTACTCCAAGTTGCTTTTTATTGTTTTTTTGTTGTTGTTGTTTTAAAGATTTTATTTATTTATTAGAGAGAGAGAAAGAGAGCGATCACAAGCAGGGGAGAAGGGTAGAGGGAGAAGCAGACACCCCACTGAGCAGGGAGCCTGACCCAGGGCTCCATCCCAGGACTCCGGGATCATGACCTGAGCTGAAGGCAGATGCTTAACCGATTGAGCCGCCCAGGTGCCCCATTGTTTTTGTTTTCAATGTTAGAAGCTGTATTCATTTTTTAGGGCTGCTGTAACAAATTACCATAAACTGAGTGGCTTAAAACAACAGAAATTTATTCTCTCACAGTTCAGGAGGCCAGAAGTCCAAAATCAAAATGTCGACATGGTTGGTTCCTTCTGGAGATTCTGAAGGATAAGCTATCCCATGTTTCTCTCCCAGCTTCTGGTGGTTGCCAGGAATCCTTGGTGTTTTTTGGCTTTTGGCAGCATGACTCCAACCTCTTCCTCCTTCACATGGCCATCTTCCTTCTGTATGAGTGTATGTCTTTGTGTCCAAAGTTTCTTTTTCTTGTAAGGATCCTAGTCACTGGATTAGGTTTAACTGTAGTCTGGCATAAACTCACTTTAACTTGACTATATTAGCAAAGACCCTATTTCCAAATAAGGTCACATTCTGAGGTTCCAGGTGGAATTTGTAGGGGAGGGTGGCTGTAGAAGCCACTAGTCAACATAGTACAGAAGTTTCCTTAGATGTGTGTTAATTCTTCATTGTCTCTCTGTTCCAGATGTCTTTTGCTGTGTAAAAAGTGACCCCAAATTTAGTGGTATAAAACAACAAACATGTTATTTTAATATTCTACAGAAATTGTGAGATAATAATAAATGTGGATTGCCACTAGGTTTGTGGTAATGTTACACAGCAAGAAATGACTAATACATAACCATTGTGAAATTAGATTCTGTGTCTTTTAATTTAATTGTATGGAAGAAACTTTGATATTGGAGAGAGTTATACTTCGTCATGCTGGGAGACAGTTCTGCTTGCCTTTCAAGGGGGCAGTCTGCCCTTGTTCCTTTGGTAGGAAACCTTAGAAGATAGAAATAGTGTCTGTCTCTGGAGTAAAGGGCAGGTTTGTTTATAGCCTTTGAAGACAGAGATTGTGTCTCCTTTTGAGCAAAGGGCAGACGTTCTTACTGCTCATTACTAAAGGTTTTTCTAACCTCACTGTTCCTTTCCTGTGATGTAACCCAATGTGTATGCAGATGTCATGTGGCCTTCTTCACATCACTCTGTGGGAACTGGGGCTCAGGGTACTGGTTGGTACAATAACGCTGCTACTGCTGTAAGTAATAAATACATTATCCTTCATCTCTGACCCAGGGGTTTTCTGGCTTCTACCGGCATTCATGGACCCGTGGCAGGCAGATACAGTAAAATTTCAAACCCCTCAGAGTTCTTGAAAAGCTATAGAGAATGATGTACGGCACATTTTACCTGTGGGAATTGGAAAGCATTTTTTTTTTTTTTTTTTTTTTGCAGAGGCGGAAATGTAAAGACTATACAAAAATTACCTCCGAACCTATTAACGAGGCAAGTGAGAATTCAAGCTGCGTAGTTCTTCTTTCTCAGCATGTGGTGTTACTGCTTCTTAACCAACCTCAACTACTCACCCTTACTTGGTAAAGTCTCTATATCTGGGATTGGTTAGGCATGAATGATGGCTAAGAATACCTTGATCGTGGAGGGATTTTAGAAGGCACTACCTTAATTGTTGCTTGTTACGTTACGGGAACTGTCAACCCATCCACAGAATGACTGCTTGCTGCCATTTGTACCTAAGGTCCCCATTCTGTACCATACAATAACATATTCACTGTACTATGAAGTAGTCCATTACCGTCACCATTTCAAGTCTTGTGGCCTACTAATTTAGCGATTATAGTAATAGCAAAGAGAACCAGAGACCTAAAATAGTAAAGGATTGCTGGTTAAAATCAGAATTGGGAAGCAAGAACTTGATATAAAATGTACTAACCAAACTAACCTGAGTTGCCTTTGAAAAAAAAAAGATGGTTGAACACAATCTTTTATTTAGTTTCCATATGCCACCTACTCTCAATTTAATCTCTAATTATAGTTTTCTAAGATTGTTGTGTTTTTCTTGGGGGAGATGAGTTATTATTTGAAAAGGTAGCATTTAAATTGTGTAATCAAAAAATTGTAAACCTTGTGTTTGATAAAGAAAAATTTTAGATCAGAAATATGAACTCTGTCTTTAAGATGGGACAAGCTTTGATTAAATGAATAAAACCCTTAATTTCCTAGGTTTTTAGGCTTCCTGTTTGCTCAATGCAATTCAAAAATTGTTCCAGATCTTGCAACTGTTTTTTGCAAATACGTTGTGAGACATAAAGTTGGACCAGCTGGGCTAGTCATATGTTTGAAATGGAGAAGGCATTGTGTTTTATATGCTGTGGGGTTCACTTCCCTGAACTGTCCCAATACCCAAGGTCCAAGAAGGTAAGGGTTTGCTCAGCTGTGTATAAAGCCTGCCTTTTGTCATTTCAAATATGACCAGTAGTCTCAAAACTGAATACATTCAGAAAACATTATGTGATAGCTCATTAATTGTACCTCTTGTTATTCACTTACCATGTAAATGAACTGGTAACTGTCCCTGACTTTTTGGGTCCTTTTTCTTCAACCCTATAAAAATCAAGTATGATTTCAGGCATTTGAGAAGCAGCTTGTTTTCCCTGTCTCTCCTCTGCAGTAGTTAAAATACAGAAAACTTGGCTTTAACCAAAGTTCTTTTGTAATTTCTGAGACTATGAAGTTGTCAAGTACTGGAGGTGGGATGGGGTCAGCTGTGGGCCCAGTGTAGGCCTGGTAGAAACTCAGATATAGAGCTCTGGGTAGGCCCAGAGAGGAAAGGGAGAGGGGAGGGAGCAGCAAGGGCTCAGAAGAGAGGAAGAACCTGGCATACATTTCACTCTCAGCTAAAATGGGTAGTCTAAGGCCTTATACTTATTAGACAGATAATGGAGACAGTAGTGGGCTGCTTCTGAGAAGGCCCCCAATGCTCCCTGCTTCTTTATATAATCCTCTCTCACCCCTGAATGTGACTTCCTTCTAACCCCCAAAGGTGAGGAGATGCCACTTTTGTGGGTAGACTATCTAAGATTGTGACTGGCTTCTTGCGAGTAAACGCTATTGCCTTCTTGGCTTGCATGCTTTGATGATATTGGGGAACCCCATGTGGCAAGGAACCGTGGGTGGCCTCTAGTGCTGAGGACAGCCTCTTGCTGACAGCCAGCAAAATGCTGAAGCCTTAGTCCTATAACCACAAGAAATTGAATTCTGAGTGAGCCTGAGAACGGAACTTTCCCCAACAGAGCCTTGGATGAGACCATACTCCCAATAACACCTTTATTGCAGCCTTGTGAGACCCTAAGCAGAAGACCCAGCTAGGCCGGTCCTCCTGACCCACCAAAATTGTGACATAATAAATATATGTTATTCTAACCCACACATTTTGTGGTAATATTGTTATGTAGCAATAGCTACTAAGGCAGAGACTTGTATATTTTGTCACAAATAGATTAAAAGTGACAAATAGGGATTTTATTCAAGTTTTTTGGCACACCAATTATATATGGAGAATTTTGCTAATTACTGGATAAGTACACCAACAGAAGAGGTCTACTTTATAATACTGGATATACATGTATCTGTATCCCAAATGCAATCTCAGGAGGCCTACAGGTAATCCATGCTTGCTTGGAGGACATGGCAGAAACGCAGTGAGTCGGTTGCCTGTAGGAGTCTATACCAGGGCTTCTGTGTTCTGAGCCAAGGGATGCCTCAAATGCTAGCAGAAGAGAATGGGAGGATGATGGAGATAACAGGAGATGACTGTTCTCTGAAACCCTTGGATTTGTGGTCTGGACCCCCATGAGCAGAGGTTAGTAGCAGAAGCTAGAAGATTTGCTCTCTTAAGAGACTTTGTCAGACCATGAGAGCAAGCAGTGCTGTTACTGACACTGGAATGCTGCAGTGGGAGAGAATGATGTGTTTGGCCACTCTGCAGGGAACACAGCCCTGCTCTGGTACCTGAGGCTGGACGGTCTTTGGGAGTATTGGAGGGGCAATGTCAACATTGCCCTTGGTGTCCTCACAGAGGGCATCGTGGGCTGAGGCCGCAGAGAAGCATCTTGAGAGAATTTGTGAGTAGCAGGGGAACACTCAGGATGGAGAGCTGAGTTGAATCCTTTCAGTGACTCTGCTTTACAGATTGGGTAACTAGCAGCATAAGAAACTCTTTATGGGTTGTGCTGCCTGTGTTCCTTAAAAGACAGAGCTGGGGGCAAGTGTGATGAGTGCTGATGTCCAAGCTGGAGACAAGGAAGGAGAGGGGAAAGGAAGCAGGAAGGATGAGAAGTACTATACTGGTGCTGCGTCAGTCACAGAGGCTGCCAAAACATCACGAGGCTGCTTGACAGCTGGCCCCCTCAGCCATGCACATCTCCTGAAAGGTGGTGTAGAGAAACCATGCCTTTCAATAGTCCACCTGGGGTAGAAGAAAAGGGAATTTCTTTGTCTGGCTCCTTCTGGCCTTGTTCCTGCTGGTCAATTTGCGTTGATCAAAATTTGTTCCCCGTATCAGGCCAAGGAAGTCGGGATAGTTTGGTTTCAGGCAAATGACTATAGTGAAAGGCAGGTGCACACAAACTTCTTAACGAGTCTCTGGCTTAGTCCATTTGGGCTGCCATAACAAAAATACCATAAACTGCCTGGCTTAAAAACAACAAACATTTATTTCTCACAGTTCTGGAGTCTGGGATGGCCAAGATCAGGGTGCTGCAGATTGAGCGTCTGGTGACACCTGCTGTCTGCTTCATTGACAGCTGTCTTTTGCTGTGTTCTCACTTGGTGGCAGGGGCAGGGAGTTCTGTGGGGTCTCTTTTAGAAGTACACTAATCCCATTCATGAAGGCTCCACCCTTATGATCTAAGCACCTCCTAAAGGTCCCATTTCCTAATACCATCCTGTGGAGTATTGGGTTTCCACATATGAGTTTTGGCGGGACACAAACATTCAGCCCTCAGCAGCCCCTTTCCTGCTGGAGTGAAGAATTCTGAGAAGAGGCATTTGAGCTAAACCCTGAAGCTGACATTCCAAATAAAAGGAAGAGAATGAACCAAGATACCAGGGCGACGAAGCGCAAAACGTGTTAGGGGATTCCCAGTGGACATAAAGTTTCAGCCAACTTTACATTTCTGGATAAAAGAACTTGAACTTTATTTTTTAGGCACTAGGACGCTTATCAATACTTTTAACCTAGAGATACCATGCAATGGGAGATTAGAGCTCAAGAAAGTTTTCTAGTTTCTTGTGGTATTGTACAGTTGAATCCACAGACACAGAAGGAGGGATAAAGCTGGGTTCTTAACCTGGGTCTATGAACCTTAGGGGAAGTGTCTGTGAAGCTCGTAACTTGCACGCTACGTTTTTGTGGGGGCCTCCATAACTTTCATCAACTTTTCAAAGGGCCCGGAACCCAAAAAGTTAAAGTGCCCTGCCAAAGAGAGAAAATCAGCACGTCCCTTTCTGTCCCAAGCCTGGAAGTACATACCTCCCGTTTGGGGGTCAGGAGACTGGAGTGAAACTAGCCCGAATATCTCCTAATTCAGAGTTAAGAGGCAGTTCAAGTTGTAATGACATGACCGGAGAAGATCTGGACGCCAGGGGGGAGCCATCACGGTACACACTGCAGCAGAGGCAGGCCGGCTTTGGACACCCGCGCTGCGCTAAGGGAGGTTGACGAGCTCTGCAAATCCTGCCCCGCGCTTTCTTCCCGCAGCTGCGCAGGCGCTAGGACCGAGGTAGTGCCGCGCGCCTCCCGCGACGCCCCACCCTGCCCCGCCCCTGCGCGAGGCAGGACGGGAAAGCCAAGATGGACGCGTTCATTTGAACATCTCGCCTGAGTGGCTTCCCAGCACTCCTGCCAGTCGATCGCAGTCCAGCCAACAGCTGCTGCCCATTCTTCCTCCGGAATAGGGGAGGGAGAGGGAATGAGAAGCTGCAGCGGCAGAGGAGTCACCCTGACCGACCCCGCCGCTGCCCTCGGGCCCCCTCGGCCCCACGCCTCCGGGGAGCAGCCAGGGCTCGCCGCGCCTGACGCGTCCCGAGTTACACAGGTGCGGGCCCGGGCCCGCAGCGTCCGGTGGTTCACCGCATGTCCTGTGACCCTCGCACCCGCTCCGAGTTGACTTGCGTTCGGTGACCGGAGGGCTGGGAGCCCAGGGGTAGGCCCTGAGCGCGCGTTTGCGCCAAGTGGCCCCCGGCCTGCGGACTGGGCTTTCCGGGGTGCACCTCCCCGCGCCGCTCCTCGCCGACTTCCTTCCTGAGCTAGACGCGGTGTCCCGTGTGGGCCTCAGCTTCTCTATCGGCCCCTTGTTTCTCGCACAGGATTTTTTGAGGCCCAGGCGCTTAGCTTGTTGGTTTCACCTAACCCTGAAGAGGCTGAGGAAACTCTTGCCTTTTTGCGGAGACTCTACGCAAGATGCCTTTCCTGTGCATTTGGGTCTCTTCTTAAAGCGATTTTGTGGTTAACTTGGCAGGGTAGTTTTTCTTTATCGTAAACAATGCCGATAACTTGATTTATAGCTTATCAATGTAATATAGTACTTTTATATGTAGCTTTTTATGTTGTCCTAATAAACACATAGAAATTTGGGGTACAGTAAAACTATTAAATATGTTTTAATCGTACACAAAGATACTGCACTGTTAAAATAATTGTGTAATAATGTAATTTTCTCAAAGTTTTAATAGAATAACATTTCGAAATTGCACAACTGAAGTTGGATAAAGTCGCAAGTTTAATGCTGGCTATCCTGTTGACTAGGAAATAGGAAGACCAGCAGAGTTTTGTTGTTTTCTTGTAAGTTTTATAAGGCACGTTATTAGTTATGTCCTAAGTTCAACTGTTCTCAATTCTGAATTTTAGCAGGAGGAAATAAGTGCCACCATTGTGACATACAGTTGTCTCAGGAATAATGTTAATTCACAGCAAAATAGCTTTGCCACTCTGGTTGTTGCATAGGAACTACAGAGGCTTTGAGATAGTGCAGCAAGGAAAATTACTGGTGCCAAAAAAACGTCAAATGAGAAATCTAAATCAAATTTAATTAAACTCTTAATTGTGAGTGCTTTTCAGGTACTAAAGGTTGTCTGTAGTGCTGACATCAAATGTTTGTTTTGATTTCTGTGTTCGAGGATTGCAGTTTAAATGTGATGCCACAAAACCTATTTCTAATGTAGATGTTGTCTCAGAGACAGAACCGGCATCCACTTTACCACATTGCAGAGTATCAGAATTTTATTAGCTGTCAATTACTGTATATAGAAATGTTTTGGAGGTAGAGAGGTATTTTTCCACCCACAGCTCATCTACATCTAATGAACTGTACTGTAATAGATTGTGTTAATTAAAAGCTAGCACTCTTAAATTTGCTACAAGCATGACTATTCCATGGCCAGGGTTATTCATGCCTTGGTTCTGGTTTGACAAAATTGGAATTGGTTGTAGTTATATGTTTAAATGAATTGGGGTGTCAAAACTGCTGATGACACTTGGTAGTTTATTAGGTCTTTTGTGGACTGGTCAACTAAAAGCAGTACTTCAACTACTGATGAGTTAGTAATATTTTTTTTTGTTTCATTCCAGTATGCCAGTGATCCTTTAGGGTATGCTTTTCATGGAACTGGAATGCCCTTTGATATTATGATTACTTGTATACCTACAATATGATAGGATTTATTTGACACTCATCTAAGGATTAATGACTCTTCTGTAAACTTTTATGACGTTTTTATTCTGGTTTTGACTTTAGAAGCTGACCAGAATGTGTTTGAATTCATGCAGAAATAATGTTGATATTTGGAACCCATGTCGAACTTCTATGAAGAAAGGGCAACGATGATTGCAGCCGGGGATTTGCAGGAATTTGTTCCTTTTGGTCGAGACCACTGCAAGCACCACCCTAATGCTTTGAACCTTCAACTTCGCCAGCTGCAGCCAGCCTCTGAGTTATGGTCTTCTGATGGTGCTGCTGGCTTGGTGGGATCCCTTCAGGAGGTTACAATCCACGAGAAACAGAAGGTTCCATTAAGTTTTCCACTACATTTTTGAAACATAGAGTGATGTGATCTATTTATAATTTAAGACTACTCAGATGCAACAGAAAGGAATATGATGCAACCTGTAGAGATTCAGATTTGGTAATTCCAATCAAGGCTAAAATAATGACATTATTGTATTATAGTGTCATAACTGTTTATTTAGACATGTGTAACTCATGGTGTCATAATGATTGTGAAGTTCAGTAGTATGATTATGGTCTATTATAAACCTCTTCACTTAGTATGTAGAGACCAGATTTCATGTTATTTGATGAGTAGATGGTAGAGTTAGAAATGGTCCCTACTGCAAAAGACCTGCATGTTTCTAGAGGAGAAAAGAAATGCTACACAAGTAGATAGAGTAGTAATTCTTAAATAGGGGAATGAGATGCAAGTATGTATCAGAAAATCAGTCTTTCCTGCCTTATTCCCTTTTCCTATCCCTTTGTGATACCAAAATCTCAGAGAGGGGAGGTTTATGTAGTTAGAAATCTATAACCTTTCTGGCCCCTGCATGGCTCAGTTGGTTAAGTGACTGCCTTCGGCTCAGGTCATGATCCTGCAGTCCCAGGATCGAGTCCCAGATCGGGCTCCTTGTTCAGCAGGGAATCTGCTTCTCCCTCAGACCCTCCCCCTTCTCGTGCTCTCTCTCTCATTTTCTCTCTCTCAAATAAATAAATAAAATCTTAAAAACAACCTAAGAAATCTAAACCTTTCTTGTTCCCATTCATTTTGATGCGTAGGACAAAGGAAGGAAGGTGACTGTATATGCAGTTGTGAAACAGGGAAATCTGCATTATGCATAAACTCCGCCAGTGATTCCCATGTGTACCTCACTACTCCCTTTCCATCACCCCCACATATGCTTAATATACCTTTTTAGTGTCCCAAGTATGTTGGTTTTGTTCTATAGATAGGTACAATTTTTGTTTATATTTTTGGCAGAATAATGCATTATATAAGGCAGTTGATATATAGAGAATTTTTGAGTAAATTCTTGTACATGAAATCCTGTAAGATTTATAATACACACCCAGTCTGTTAATCAGTGGCACCAGAGATTCTTAGAGTTGGGTTTGGAGTGAGTCGTACTCCATAGGCAGAGCAAGAGTAGGAGACTTGTATCTGGATGACCATTTGATTTAATTAATATTGCTCCATACTATTGAAAAAGGGAGTGCTTTAACCCTGTCTTACATTTATTAATTTTTAAGGAAAGCTGGCAGTTAAGGAAAGGCGTCAGTGAAATTGGAGAAGAAGTGGATTATGATGAGGAACTCTATGTGGCTGGAAATATGGTGATCTGGAGCAAAGGAAGTAAAAGCCAGGCATTGGCTGTTTATAAAGCGTTTACAGTTGACAGTCCTGTTCAACAGGTGAGTTGATTTGAATTTTAGCATTTAGTTGACTAACACTTTTTTAAAAAAAGCTTTTGTCTTAGAATTTAACAGAAATGATAAAAACATAGCTTAACGATCACAGCAGCTGGACGTATATTTTAAAATGTAGTGAAGATAATGGTAGGAAAATAAAAATGTCATTTGTTTTCTATATCCTCACTTTTTTTATACTGTCCTTTTGTCAGTTAAATGATGATCTTTAAACATTGTCCTTGACTAATTTGATTTATTGTCAATAAAAATTTGTAAGACATTACAAATTAAAATATTTTAACACATGATGATTTTAATTGCAGAGTATTGAATAAAAAAAATTGGGCTCAGAGTAATACTTGGAAAGGAAAAACATCTACTTTACTATCATTGTAGTTGGCTATTAAACCTAACTCTGTTCTGAAATTGGTAATTAAAGGGAAAGAATTAAGCATTTACCCTGCCTTTTTGGAAGACATGCAGTCCATCTCCAGTTAATGAAGGAAAACCCTTATTTGTAAAAATGCTAATGAATAAATAAGAAGGGAATGGTAGGATTAGAAAACCACCATTCTTAAATTTCCAGTGTAAACTCATTGAGACAATGATTGTAAATGGACACTAACACTGTTGGGTAAAAGGATGCGACCATGGCCCCAGGGTGTCACCCTGTGGCTTACTTGTTAACATGAAGGAACAAATATATCGCTACTTTGGAGATATCTGTTGCTCTCCACCTCAACCAAATTGATTTGAGTTTATTGTCACTGGTAGTGGGGCAAAGGAGTAATACGCACCTCTGGCTGTAATGCAGCATGAAATACATGATGTCATCTACTAAGTTTTCTTCCCAGAAATACTTAACTTGAATATTTAGATCTAACTTTTAATTTTAGGAAATATGGGGACAAGAGGATCAATTTTTAAAATATCAGGAAATGAGGAGTGGGTTGGAGATATAAATGAAACAAGAATGGCCAAAGCTTGGTAATTATTGAAGCTGGCGGATGGGAATTCATTCCTATTCTGTTTACTTAATACATATTTGAAACTTCCCATAATAAAAAGTTTAAAGAAAAAACACTGAGAAAACAGTTGGGACAGTCTACATTCTGGTCTCTTTAAAAAGTCAGGGAGAAAAAAAAAGGGAGAAAGAGAAGGTGGGGACTGCTCTAGATTAAAAAATAGTAAAGGGACATCAAATGCAATAGTTTTTGAAACTTGTTAAATGAACTTTGAATCCTGGTTCTAGAATATCAGCTAAAAAAGACATTTTTTGGGAAAATTTGCAAAACTTGCAAATGGACTGGATATAAG